TTAATAAAACTTTGAATATTTAAAAGAAAAGCTTTCAAAATAAATATGTTGCATTTGACACAGCTTCTCAACGTGTGCATGTTTGGTATTTGTATAAAGAAACTTCAGTTTGCACACCAGTGTTTATAACAAGCGTTGAACTGTCAAACTTATTAACTCTTACATTAAAATGGCGTTTTGTTTATGTTTATACTGGCTCGACAGAATAAAACATCTCTGTCATTTACAATAAAAAATTTAGTAGAGTCAATATAGATTCATAACAACATTACAAATGATTCAACAAGGGATGTGTTACCTCGACACCAAATGAGTGAATGTATCATAAATATACTCATGTAATTGTTGATTTCACTTGAACTATCTGCAACACACCAAATAATATTTTAGTTGTTCAATAGGGTGAGTATCGTTTCTCATTATCAAAACAGCCATTTAAAAACATGTGTTGATTTGCCATATGCAAATTGAGGATTGAGGATCATAGTCACCACTTTCAAAAAGATTTCTATGAAAACAAACATCTTTTGGACTATTGACAGCATCAAATTAAAAATATCTGAATATCATTATTGATGTCAAAAGATAAAACATCGACTTTGTTTTTTTTGTCACATTCTATCTTCAAAGGTTTGTTAGAAATGACTAATGAAATGTTAAACTTAAAAAAACAATCAAAATGAATGCAAGGTACCAATTGTAATGGTACAAGACTATAACGACACATATTATCTACCAAGACTGTATAATCCATAATTCGAGAAAAAGTTGCGTTGTTTGCTTTTGGTTTATACGAGTGTAACTATATGGAGACATATTAAATTAAAAAAAAATTAAAGCCTTTAAAAAGATCAAACCTTGTTTTTTATTGAGAAAAACTTTTCAAATTATGTGGTAAAAAAACAATCGAATATTTTATTTAAATATCACTAAATTTAATATATGAATGGGTTTTCAAGTGATAAACTAATTTTAAACTGTATCATTAGTATAAATGAATAAAATAAATAACACAATCGAACTTAAAAATTGTATTTATATTTAGTATTTAATTAATAGTCTGTATGTAAAAATAATATGTTTAACAAAAAAATGCTTGAAGTTTTCGAAAATTTGGTCATAAAATAAACCCTGAATAACTTTGAAACAACCTATTCAAATTTTTGTCTGGTTCATTATAATTTTTGTTGTATAATATATATTACTCAATGTTAAAAAATAACTCAATAACTTACGGTTGTACCAACTAATATATAGATTTCAAAGATATTGAAAATTAAACAAATATTTTTTTGTATATCATTTCATATAAATTTTATTAAAAAGTAAAAAATCACAATTACATATTTAACCCACTAAATTATTTTCTAATTGCATTTCCCCAAGAAAAAACTGAATATCATTTGGTGATGTGTGTTGTTGTTTTTTGTAAAAATATTATATTTGTATTTAATTATAATAAACTAATAAAAAATGAACATTTTATAGAAACACCATTTGAATATAAAAATATACAATCGATTTTTTATAGTAAATAACAAAAAAAACAAACCAATTACTGACTCTAGCTTATGTTTATTATCAGTAGCAACAGCTTTATGTGTTGTATTTGTATTTTTACATTTATTAACTCAGTGCTTTTTGTATGTAATAAATAAATATAAATAAATAATAATATTTCTAAACTACTTTTGGTGTATATTAAAAACATGGAGCTTGGTTAAAATGAGAAGTTCAACGAAACATGAACACAGTGATGCTAATTAGCACATATTTAAATTAACATCAAATTGATAATTGTTTAAATTTTATAAAAACATAAACACTTTAATGTATAACATCTATTTATTTATTAATAAATACTTACCTAAATTTATATATTTACTAAATATTAAATCAATATAATGCTTTATTTATCAAAATTTTTCAGTGAATACAAAATAATGATTTTAAAAATATTTTTTTATGTTTTATAATTAATTATTATTTAATATTAATTATATTTTATTTAAATAAAAACATAATCATGTGACATTATTAGATATTATACCCGGGTTTCACTCTGTTTAAATCAACTAAACTTGTTTAAATATGGTATTAAATTTGTCAAAATTGGAAATTTTTCAATGATTTTCTATATATAGTAAATATATCAATCCATAAATGGAATCTGCAAATTAAGTTTTGTTTATTTTCATTCTTTTGATTTTATAATAAAAATATTATAATAAATACTATTTTAAAAAAACCAGACAACACCAAATACATTTGAAATCTTTCTTTGTGTGTATTCAATCTATTTTTAAATTATATTCCAAAAATATTTTTGTTTTGTTTTTATTGTGTTGAATACATTCAATCACATACAAAATATAATTTGTATATAAACGAAATAAAACATTTTATATCATTCAATGTTTTCTGTCTTCTTGCTTATCGCCGCATCACTTGCAGCTTATCCAAACGACTTACAATACTCGGTCCCATTTTGGCATGTTTATGTTGGGATTGACACACATCTTGGAAAGTCGTTAAATTACGAACTTGATGTCCCAAACAACATTGGCAGCAAGTGTTACACAATCACAACTGGTGTTTCTGTCCGAATTGAAAATACACAGTTGAGTATCTTTGACAATGCCAACTGTGATGGGTATAGAAAAACGTACATGGATGCAAATGAGTATTACAAGCAGTGTGGCATTTGCAATGGATTTGGAATAGCTGGGAGTGGATACCCCGCAAACATGTTGATTCCCTTCGACAACCCAATCATGGGCAAATTTGTTGTTGATACGTCAAATGCCAATTGCCCCGCTGGTAATTACATTCCATCATACATTTTGTCAACACAAACTGAACTTGGCTTCAGTTACATATTGGGTGGTGTTAATAACGTTTACAACTTTGGATTCAGAATTAATCAAACCGACAAAAACCACATCAAAGGTGAGTGGCTTGACAAACTCCCAACAGACTCAACAGCAAAAGTGTTGTTCTCAATTGAAAACAATAAATGCACACTTGTCAAAAATCACTGGGTTAAAATCCAGTTAGACACTTTTGAGGTTGCCAACTGTAAGATTGTAACACAGGCTGGTAAGTGTTACAAAAAGAGAGCCGCAGTCGATCCGGTGGATCCTCCAAAACCAGTCGAACCATCACAACCATAAACACCATCTGAGCCAGAAAAGCCAGTCGATCCACCTGTGGCTCCAGTCGACCCTTCAAACCCCTCTGAACCAACCGAACCAGAAAAACCAGTAAACTCTGAGGAATCAACTGAAAACTCGGAAATCGCAAATTTGGACGGTGCTTACTCTGTTGCCATTTTTGTTGTGATTGGATTTCTTGTTCTGTTGATATAACCAATATTGTTGTTTTTTGATTCTTTTTCAACCTTTAATAACGTAACCAACATTTTTTATTTAAACTATACTAGAAGTATTAAAATGTCATTATTAAGTTGAATGCTTGGGCCATTTGGTTTTATATATATTTATATTTATATCCCCCAAAACCAAAATAAATAGGCAACAAGAAGCTAAGAAAAATTTGTTTGATAATTCAACCTCATAATAATAAAGTTACATTGTTTTAGTTACTGTTTTTTTATTGTTAGAAATAACAAAAATTTTGTACTCCATGTGTACAACCTTACTCAACAATTTATAGTTGATGCAATTATTATTACAAAAAATAAAAAAGTTAGACAAAAGAATCCAACAAAAACCTTATTATAACCCAAACAAAGCACAAAAGAAAAAAAACAAATGAATGTTTCTACATTAAAAACAAGAAGATAATCTTTTTGTTCATTAACCGCTCTATTTACTATAACGGCTCTGTGGCTCAACTATAAAAATCTATTTTAAAAAATGTCGTTATGGGAAAGAGTTAACACACAACTTTCTGTTTTTAAAAACAAAAAATCAACAAATATAAAAAAAAT